AAAGAAGCTTGCTGCAGCGAAGGGTGTAGTGAACTTTTTGATTTCTTGAGATTTCTGAATTTTACATATTTTGGTGGAGGCGTAGTTGAAGCCTCCTCAGCCGTTCACCTGTGAATTTTCACCAAATGTGTAGTTGAACCAAGACGTTGAACCACGACGAAAAAAAACAAAGTAAAATAATAATTTTCAAACTTCAATGAAATTCAGCCTCTTTCATTAGTACCTCCTGGGGCCGTCCGGCCCGGTCTTCGGGATCTCGTCAAGATCATCCATCTTGGCAGCTCAGCCCACCATCATCAAAGCACGGTGAATGTAAATGAACCAGCTCCAAAATGGCCCAAAAATCACCCAATTAATGATTTTTATTAAACTTCGCTGCCTCCCGTTTGTGTCACTTTTTCTGGTTGCAAACCTTGCTATGTCTCTGAAAAACGTCACTATTTGCCTATCGTGGGCCAATTTGCAGCCAAGATGCGAGGCGAAGCTGCCCTAGAAATTCGGAAACCCACCGCAGAAAAAAGCAGATTACACCAATGAAAAGCAGAAAAGGTGAGCAAAACAACCAGTGAAACTTTGCCTCCAAATTCCCACCCGCTTTCAAGAACCACCAGGGCTTGGGCATCTTCGACACTCGTGCCTCCTGCACAATGCCCCCTCAAGAGCAATCTCCCGCAGCAACTATATAAGAGCCGTGTCCCCAGATAACGGTGCATTGTAGAACCATCTCTCAGTATGTCACTCACCAACCCAAACCTTGAAGGCTACGCCATCACCAGGGGCATGTGGCTCTACTTCTACAACCCCAACAAAAAAACTTTCAAGGCTCCCAAGAAATGCCTGGGCTGTTACAACAATGACACCTTCGTTGTCTGGGCTGTCTCTGTCGCTGCTCAGGCTATTGTGGATGGTGCTAGAATCTACCCTGAATTGAAACCGCTTATTGGCCCTGCCATCGACACTTTCCAGCGTTACAAGAACAACCACACCAAGGGCTTTTCTGCTGCTGAAAACGGCGGTAACGATACCGATATCTACTACGATGACGATGCCCAGGTGGCTAGTGCTATGCTCACGGCTTACGAGGTGACTGGCGAAAAACGCTTTTTGGACCAGGGCAGAGAATTGACCAGATTCCTTATGGGCGGCTGGCACCCCAAGATTGGCGGTATCAAGTGGCACGTTTCCAAGACCTACGTCAATGCCTGTACTACCGCTGAAGTTGCCAAAGCGTGCCTCCAGTGCTCCAAGTTCATCCCTGACGAGGCCCAGACTTACATTGACTTTGCCGCCAAGTGCATCCAATGGCAGATTGACACTCTTCAAGACAAGAACGACAAGTGTATCATCGATGGTGTGCAGCCTGACGGCATGAAGTTCGAGAACGGTAAGCTTACCTACAACACCGGTACCACTTTGTCCTGTGCAGCCCACTTGTGGCACATCACCAAGGACGAGAAGTGGAAGAACATTGCCGATGACTTGGCCAAGGCCTCCATCGACCACAATGTGCCATTCTTCGATAGAGACTACCCCATGGAGCTCCGCTACTGGCGTGACCCCAACTACTGGACGCAGTTGTTGATCGAGGGTCTTGCTGACTACTTGTTGTACGTTGGCAACGATGCTCCAGAGGGTTTGCCCAAGGCCATCCACGATGAGGTGCTCCGTAACATCTTGATGTACTACAAGTACGCCAAGGACCCCCAGGACGGCCTTTATATCCAGACTTTCGAGCCCCACGGAACTTTCCCAGAGAAGGCCGACCTCTACAAGGAGGAGTTCCAAGGCAAGAAAAAGGTTGGCTTCAAGGGTGAGGATTCCGACGGCGGCAAGCCCCAAAAGTGTTTGATGGGTCTTGGTGCTGCAGCCCGTTGTTTCTTCCAGGCTGCAAGAATCATCCCCGAGATCCACTACAACAACAACTGAGCCCATCAGCATTAACTCGCAAATGTATTATCTACGATTGAACGCCATTCGCTGTAGTTCTACACCGCTTCTCTATGCTAGTTCTATTACAGAATGTGTCTATTTAAACACGGTAGACGGGCACATCAAAGGCCAGCGCCTGGGGCAATGCAAATGCGTCTCTCTCCACCACCAACAAGTCCTGCTGCACAGCAGCCACCTTGAGAATGGGTCTGTACTTTTGTGTTATCCAGAAAGCGGGCTTTTCCTTGTCGTCATCGTCCACCATCTCTTCATCCTCGTCGTCGTTTTTCACAAGATCCTTGACGATCTGCTCTCCGATATCTTCTTCATCGTTGATGCTGAGACCATTGTGGCTTCTCTTGTTGGAACCACGGGAAACAGCATGTCTTAAATTTTTCGTCATGTCCACGAATGCCATCCAGGTGCTGCCGTAGACCCACACTCTCTTGTCGCTTACAAAAAGACCCATGGGTTTCTGGGCTTGTTTGAGAAGCGCCAGAGGGACATTTTCGGAGTTTCTCTCGGACCATTCCGACAAAAGACGGCCGCCCAGTTTGAGAATAAATTCGTAGATTTTGTTTTCTTGCGTCATCACCACGACAGTATTGTCTGAAGTGACATCCATGAGATGCACCGAAGTGGAAGGCTTGGTCAAAAGGAAAGGCTTTTGTTTGCCTTGGAGTGGAAGCACCTCAACGGCATCGTTGAATCTGGCAACCACGATTTTCGTGTGGTCTGGTGAAATGGAGACACAGCGAACGCTGTTGAGGTAGTCGATGCCGCTTTTAACCACGGCAGTTTCGCTACCCTCGTCGACACTGTCAACTTCGTCGACGAGATTAATTTTTTTGTCAATGCTGAATTTGTAGAACTCGTTTTCTGGCGTCAATACGAGGAGCTTGGAGGATTTATAGACCCACACCTTCTTTGCACCAGCAACAGCAGCGTCAAACTCGTCGTCACGGATCTTGGTAACAGCCAATTTGGGGCCCTGCTGCTCCAAAGTGAACACTTTCACCAGGTTGATGGTAGCAACAGCCAAGTACTGTTTTCCATCTTCAAACTCCTCGCCTATGCTGACACTGGTGATATTGTCGTCGTCAGCCAATGTAAGCTTAGCCACAAGCCTGTGTCTGTGGTCCGCCAAGGCCCAGATCTTGACAGTCTGGTCCTGGAAAAGCGCCACAAGGCGGCTCTGTGGGTGAACGTATATGTTGGAAACCTGCTGGTCCATGAGAATTTTCTTGAATGGGCCGTTTTCGAACAGCTCCGTTTCTTGCACGATAAAAGAACGTTCAACGCCACCGCTGACGAGCACGCCAAAACTCTTGCTTTCGTAGATAGCCATGGCCAGAACGTCGTTGGCGTGCATGAGTCTGCTGCCGTTATCGATCCAGCGGGCCTTCTGCTTCTTAGGCTCAGCACGGGGCCTGAGGCAGGTAAACTGGTGGATTTTTCTGTCAATACCCGCAGAGAAGAATTTGTCACCGGCGGCGTTTCTGGCCAAACAGAGCACATCGGCTTCGTGAGCATTGAAGTTCAGCACCATGGTGTAGTTCTTAGCGTCCCACACCTTCACGGAACCGGTACTGTCACCGGTGACGAACTGGCCACGTTCTGGGAACGCCACCACCGTCCACACGAGCGTGGACTCTGTTTTGCTGCGGTCCACCTTCATGGTTCCCACAATACGGCCTCTATCAGCATCGTCCTCTTTAACCAGCCAACAGCGAACCAGGGCGTCAGCACAGCCGGCCACGACCATGTCCTTTCCGTAAAAAGCAAGCCCCAACACACGCTGGTCCTGTCTCTGGCAGATCATGTGGTGTTCCATCACTCCTGGTCCTCCAGAGATGTCCACCAAAACAACACTTCCGTCGTCACAGCCCACAGCCAAACGGTCTCCTGCCTCGTTGGCGTCAATACACCAAATCACACCGGCATTGCAGTCGTAGTTGGCCTTGGGCCGGAGCGTACGGAGATCCCATTCGGTGATGTATGTGCTTCCTCCTATGGAAAAGAGCCTAGGGCAGGCGTTTCCGTTTTTTGGCGTTGCCCAGACCAAGCCCTCGACAGTACGTCCGCGTGCACCCGGTAGCGTCATCTCGTGGGTCCAGTTGGCACGAGGAGACCAGATTTCAATGTCTCCATTGGATCTTCCGAGAGCCATTCTAAGACCCTTGGGAGGATGGCCCGAGACGGCCAGCGTGTGGGAAAACGCTAGCGCCGTGACGCTGTGCGGCGTGTAGTCCACAAAACGGCACCTGTGAATATCCATACTGGGGGATTTGTGTGGAAATTGGAGAGGTGAGTTTGTAGTTCGTGATGATGGTGTGCATGGCTGCTCGATGCCTCTACAATTTTTGCACCCAGGTCACGTGCACACCTGGAAGTCTGGTTTTGGAGAGTTATAACAGGTACCTGGTTTGGAGGGTTAAATTTTATTGATTCTGCTGTTTTGTAGGCTATTGGAAGAATGGTGTTGTTTGGCGAATCTGATTTTATCATGTTTGATTTACATGCTTGATGGACATGTGCATCGCAGGCATCAGCACTACTTACATTAAGAGAAGCAGTCTATAGCGTGTCAGTTTCATATATTGTTTGCAACTGAATTGAAAGCGACGATTAATCTTTTCTTTATTTCCACCGAATTTAGTCCCTTGTGTTGTTGACGATTGTCAGATTGTGCTGTGGATATAGATGCGGAATCATGATCTGATAGACCATTACTCGATACACAAGCGGATAAAAGAGTGTCTTCAAAGGTTTTGCCAGTTTGATTTATTGTACTGGACTCAAACTATGAAGTCTTGAAAGGTTTCGCCAAATTGGTAGATTGGAATGGATTCAAATTTTGAAGCAATTACTCTTCAACAGGCAAGTTCAGTAACAATCACAAGTTTTAAGGCATGAATCTGAGACAACTGAGCCCACAAGTCTTCAATTGAGACCAAGATCTCCAGTAAAAGATTCCTTGACTTTTTTATAACCTGCAAAATCAAGCCTTATCCATCCCCTACACTGCCGCTTTTCATTGCTCATAATGCTTTATATAATCTATGGAGCGGCTAGACGAAGCCGACGAAGCTATTGATGAAGGAGAGTAAGCGGACAAACCACTTGTTCTCATCGGTATTGACGATCATGTTCACCACAAGCTCCTTTTTGCGTCGCGTGGAGTCGAGCTGTTGCTTGACAAGCGTCAGCTCCACAACCACATTGCGCTTGATGCACCACACAAGGAAGAGAAGTGCAACCACACTGATAGAAAAGTTCTTTAAGAAATGCAACGCCTGGACACCCACAAGACGAAGCACATGCACCACACGGCGCTTGATGCGCTCCTTGGGATCGAGATCCAGCTCCGGCTCCAGTTCCAGCAGAGACGAGGCGGATCTGCCGCTTGACTTACGCCCCAAAAACTCCTTCGAAAGCTTATTGACGATGGTGTTGATTTCACCCTGCCAGTTGCGGAAATCCTCAAGCGCTGCTTCTGGCACGTTTCCTTCCTGACGGCCCGTGCTCCCCACTGAACCCGCATTGGCGATACCACGGCGTCCGGACATGGAGTAGACCGACTGGGCACCCTTGTTGCGCTGCTGCTGCACGTACTCGCTCAACAGAAGCTGGGTATTACGGGTCAGGTGCGAGTAGATCTGCTCTAAGTTGCTGCGGTACTGTTGATTTGACACCAGCGCCAGGTACGTGCTGCCGATGGGCCAAGGGGTTCCCGACAGTAGCCTGTCTGACTGGTCGACCTGGGATAAATCCGGCAGCTTGGAAACAAACCGGTTGACCGGCTCGTATGGCTGCTGCTGTTGCTGGAACGGGCTCTGGAACCGTCTGGCAGGCTCTTCATCGTCACTAAACTCCACATCCTTGATTTGGTCCCACAAATACTCCAATTCCCCAAGCAACTCCCTGGCTTCCGAGGTGCCGCTCGCGTACACCCGCATGGTCTCAATAAGATACAGAATGTATTGTCTCTTGGCCTCTGTCCTCGAGAGGCCCTCTTCTCTTTTCCAAGCGTCCCATTTCTTTTTGGCGCCCTCGTCCTCGAGCGTGTGGCCTTGAGGTCTGGCCATAATTCCTACCACGTTGCCCTCGGTGGCTTGTTTATAGAGTCCATAGAGTTTGACCCTGTTTTCTGCTGGAGGTCTGGGTAAAGTGCCATAGTTGGAACGGGAAGATAGCGCCCGAATTGTGGTGATTGCTTTCACAAATACACGATCTGAAGTTAGTAATTATTGGGAGATTTAGGCAAGGTTAGACATACCGATTGGGTCGGACATGAGGAAGAGAGTAGTTGGTATCTGGAGTAAACAGATAGTGCGCCGGATGCACGTGAGACCCCAGACTGTGGGGAACCGACCCTGGGGTATTTTGGAGAGGAAGATTATAAATAAAGGGGAGATTCCAGGAGATTGAAAGTGGGTGATTTGGAATATCTAGTTATTTTGGGGATTTGGCCCGAGTGTGGGTGTTTGGCGTGGGGTTCTGGTGCGGTGGTTGCAAACTGGATAGACCGAGGGGCGATAATAGAGTTTGGACTTTTTGGGGCTTAGAGAGGGTTTTGTGATTAAAGAGGTTTTGAAGATTTAAAAGGGGTGGATTTGTTTGTTACGGTCGGAATTTGTGGTTTTGAAAGTGTGTAAGTTGACAGATGCCGAGGATCCAATGGAGAGCCGATCGGTGTATGCTAGTTGGACTAGGGCTAGAGGGAAATTGAGATGATATTAAAGGTGGACTAGGAACTCAATGTTGACAATCTACGCTTAAAAAAGCTTTGGTCCGGTTTACTTACAAGGCAAATGATAAGTGTGGTTCAGAGCTCTATAACAGCTGATCTGGTACAGCCGTATTGGTGCTTTACGTTTTCTCTGATTTAACATTCCCAGACGTCTTTTGGGTATATCAGCTTTCACAATTTAATCATACGGCGGCCTTCATACGGCTGGCTTAATGCAATTGGTAGCACTATAACCACCATAATCGACTCGCTCTTTTCGGTAAAAGCATCAACACACTCCGAACCCAGCGTATCTGAAGTCAATGAGCTAGATAATCCCTGTTTTCATCCAAGCTGATTCAAGCTAGTTCTGTGCCCTTCTATTGTGTCCACTCCTCTAGCTAGACCACTACACCCACCATTCTACAGTTTGAACTCACCAAACGGCTCGCAAACACTTCTTCTGTGACGTAAATATATTACCCTATGTATTACACCTAGTTTTCTGGAACATCAATCTCACCAGCGTCAATGGCCTCAATAATGTCGTGAGGGTTCTTGAACTCAACACGGCAGCCAACAGACTGGGCAGTACCCAAGATCTCCTTAGTGACGGAAGCCAAAGTCTTACCGAAAGACTTCTCTCTCATCTGTCTGGCGATCTCGAAGATCTGGTCAAGAGGAATGTTACCACTGTGCTTGACGTTCTTCTCCTTCTTTCTGTCTCTAGGAGGCTCCTTCAAGGCAGTGATGACAAGAGAAGAGGCAGATGGAACAACGGAGGCGGTGGCCTGTCTGTTCTGGATTCTCAACTGGACAGTGACCTTGATACCCTTGAAGTCCTTGGTGGCCTTGGCAATGTCTTCACCAACCTTCTTTGGGGACAAACCGAGAGGACCGATCTTTGGGGCAAGGGCGGAGGAAGCACCGACTTCACCACCGACGGCTCTCAAGTACAAGAACTTCACTTCAGAAGGGTCGAATTTTGGAGGCATGGTATTGACTTGAAGATATGGGTGAGAGGAAACTGGATTTTTTTTGCAAAAATTTTAGCACTAGCGAGCGCTGCACCGGAGGCACGTGACCCATCGCTTCTTTTCTGTTAACTATGGGTGGGTCCGGTTGGGGTTGGTTGGTGCGCCCAGGGTAATGTACAGGTATTTTTCGACCAGCAGTCGCGTTAGGGCTCCAGCCCTAACGGAGTTGGGGTGTCGACGACGGGGACCCAGCAAAGGAAGCCAAAGCGTTGGACGAATTCAGCGATTTTGTATTCAATAAAGCATGACTGTAATTGTTAGGCCAATAAGGGAAGGAGTTCATCGAAACATGCCGGTGATTGAGGTGGCTGCAAATGGTCTGAGACAGGGAAGGATGCTACTGAAATGAGGTTTAGAAGTAAGTGCTTGGGTGCTCAAAGCTGTCTATCGAATGGTTTAGTGAATCAGATGATTATCAATAGTTACATTCCCGTTGGTTTATTTATAACAGAGAACCGTTCGTGAGGAGCGTAACACACGTTGACAGAGATGGCTCACAAGTTTCATTCAACAAACTGTAGTAGTTTAAATTAATGCTTACGTTCAAAGTTCTCTTAAAACTGAATTATTTAAAAAAGGGGTTGGCAGCGGGCCGAGGAGGTGCAATATACTTTGCTGTTGCTGATGAAGAGTGTCTATCCACTCATACAAAATGTCCTCAAGTCGATGATTTAGACTACAGATTGCTAGTTATTATCACCAAGGAGACTTAGAGTTTTCTAAACTCATAACTTTCAGTCTAATACTTGTATTTTTTTTCGCTTTTGCTTTAATGTAGATGCTTCTTTCGTGCTTCTATTAGATCGCTGACATCCTCAAGTCTCTTTGCTAATACAAAATATAGAATTTGTCGCAATATCAATCATGCAACCCTTTCGAATTTACTTGAGATTAGATATATATGTTTTCCAGGTTTATTCGCTGCATCTTATCAGTGACGTCGGTGTATGCCGCTTGATGCACGCGGTGCGTTTTTACGAGATTATCTGACACCATCAAGGCAACCCACCTACAATACAAAAACCACCAAATGAGTTGTGATCTTCTACACTACAATCGGACACTTCCTATTTCAGTTCTTTATCATAAACAAATTAAACAATGATGCATGGGTATAATGAAATGTGTATATGTAGCCGGCTAGAGCGTTCCTCCGGGGATGTCATCGCCGATACGAGAGTCCTCATATTTGTCGTTTTCGTCCGGCGCAGCGGACGCTAGCTCCCTCAACATGATAGCAGGGTTCTTTCCGTGCTCCTGAAGCTCCTTGAAAACAATAACGGGTTTCTCGGTGAGCTTCAAGATACGTTCCTTGTCACCGTAGCAAATCACCAAAACGTACTTGCTCCAGTGGTTTCTCGGTATATGGTGCCTTTTCATCGCTTGCTGAAGTACCTTGAGACATGTATCGTCCGAGGATGCCTTGAGCTGCTTGAGCGGTTGTGTTCCCTGGTTTGGCGTCAGCAAGTTCAGCAGACTTCCGTGCGAGACTTTGGATTGGTTTCCATGACCGTGGAAGTAATGCGACGTTGGGCTGAGTACCGAAGAGGAGCTCCTTCTCGATTTGAGCAAGGATTCGCTTCTCTTGAGCTCGTCAATCTCTCGTGGCAGCGCTCTGTCATCACCCGGACTCGCAACTGCCAGACGAGACTCCACCAAACGAGGTTTACTAAATAAACGGTGCGACAGGGACAGTTTGCCCATATCGGTGATTTTGCCGACACCCATTGAGAGCACAGAGCCCGAGGAAAGACGACGGGACTGCGTGGGGCTCGAAGGGTGCTGTGAATAAAGCGAGTCATGGAGATTCGAGCTCACTGAGTTGGTTGAAGTCGAGTGGGTCATTCCCTCTGGAACACTGGGAGGAGCGTCTGGAGTAAGCGAATCGGCATGGGTCACAGTGCCGGGGTTTGAGCCGCTATCCTGCTCGTTCTTCGAGTTCACCAGCAGAGTAGGCAGTTGCGCAGGCACACCAGGGTCTAGAGTAGGTGTGGGGAGCGGCTTAGAGTCCTTGATCAACCGGATCACCGGGTTCAAGTCCGCCTTGAGTTTTATAAAGTTCTCGTTGAGTTTGCGAATGTCGTCTGAGGATGCCAGAGACGACAGCCCTAGCATGGACGAGTTCAGAATGGCCGATCCCGGAGTGGTCAGGGCGGGAGGAGCCGTGGATAAGGTCTGGGAGGCACGCTTGAAGATGTCCTGAACGAGTATCTGGCAGAGCGTTAGCGCCTCCACAGAAAACTGGTTATTTACAAGCAATCCCTGAGCAAAACTGGCCGTAGTAGGCGTGTTAGCGTAGCTCATGGAACCTGGGGTGTTTGCGTTGGAGATTCCAGGGGTTCCTGGCTTCGAGCCCGAGGGGAGGCCCGTAGGCAAGCCATTGTCCCCCGAGATCAAGGAGAAAATGGCCCTTTTGACACGGAGTCTTGTAGCCAAAGGCTCTATGCCCAATTCACGTAGATGGTCGCTTGTGATGTAGGGAAGAAGCAGACCGTCGATGTTGTTTTCTATGAAGGTAGCGCTGAAGTCGTGGCCAATGTGCCCCTTAAGATACGACAGCACCTGGGCTGGATCCCATTGAAGAAACAGTTCCATGGTGGGGTTTGTGGAAGCTAGATGGATGTGATTGTTGAGGATGTGTGGCGAGAAAGTAGTAGGTGACGCGTCTTATGCCTTTCACTCGTAGTTCATGGAATTGACCTCTCCTTGTTTTTGTTGTTAAGGCTCGCTGTGAATCAGTTATATAGAAAGATGATCCGTTGAGTTTCGTGCTTCTGATACATACCGCACTGATACATACACGCACAAGACCTAGCCAAGATCCAGAAATAGCCCAGGCAGGAGACGTGACCCATTGCTGTTTTTTTTATTGGGGTGGCACAGTCCGATTTGGTAATTTCGGCGGAAAAAGTGACAAATTCGGCTTGAGGCGAGAGGTCTAGATTTGGAGATGGCGGTGAGTTTCGAGCAAAAGGTGGTGTCATTTTGTCTACTTAAGGTTATATATTTGGGCTGGATTTGGAGATAAGGTTATTTAGAGAAATGGCTGCATGTATACGGCTAGGCTGCTGGTATGTTTCGCAGCCAAAAGGTAGGCGGATCTGTGCATTAACAGCGATTGTGGAGAGCATTAGAATTGGGTATTCAGATCGTTAATTGAGTTTTGCTTCTTGAAGTTAGTTGGGTTGTCCTTCGTTATTTATGGTAATTTTGAGTCATAAGTATTGTGCCCATCGGAATCAACTAACCCAACTGACGGTTACCTATGCACCCAAGCCATGCGTTTCATCAACATTCCAGCGGCCAATTCCTGAAACTGGCTTTGTGTTCCAACGGTTGCACTTAGATCATGTCTCACCCACGCATTAGTATTCGGATAGCGTGGATCGCTGCAACCGAAGTTTCGTCAGACGGCTTGTACGATCTGTAGAAGGTCTGAGAACTTGGCAGCATTGAAGCATTGGTTTCACCGTGGGTTTTGCAGGGACTCGGGGGTTCAAAAGGTCGACTTTTGCCTGGCCGGCAT